GTTCCTGTAGTGAAAATAAAAAAAATGTAATGTACATTTTTTATGAAAAATGAATGAATTGACCTCATTGATATTTTATCTGTGAGAAATAAAAATAATAAAAACACACATATTGATTGAAATGGTTAGTAATGGAGTTGACATTCAGGCACAAAAGTGTTGCATGATTAAACATTCTCTGAGTTATTATTGCTATTCCTCTGGAACGAACATGAGAAACTCATTGAGGAAAATCACTTTTCTTTTCTTGCTTGTTTTTTTCTTATTTTGCTTACAACTTTTACACACTTATAGCTACTCTCTCACAAGGAAAAGATGATGCCGTCATGCATAAAAAATGTTTCTCTAATATAAAGAGATGGGGGCACACATTTTGATGGTTCGGCCAGTACTGCACTGGGTCTTTTGGTCTGTCCAGCGGTGGATTTGTTTTATAGTGTTGAGCGCTTTCAAATTCAAAGCTGTCTCAACCTGTCAACTATTAGAATCGGAGCGAGGCAATGCCAGGGAATCAGCTCATTGGACCGCAATGGGGCTGCAGCTAACGATTATTTTAGTAGTCGATTAATCTATCGATTATTCTGACGATTAATCGAGTAATCAGATATAAAAAATAGTCATGTTCTGCAGTAATTATTTAAGCTTATTTTATGAGATATACAATTATTTAATATTGTGAAGGGGTAATCTACACCTGCTGATGACCCTGCTGCAATCAAAGTAATACACCAGTTGTATTAATTAATGCATTTTAAAATCAATTTGTTTGTATTTATGTATGTGTGGTTTGATGAAGCATCAATTAAAAGCACTCTGTCACTGAATCATTTTAACCATCACTGAAAAATCTAAATGATGTMAATTTATTCTTATGGATTGGGATTTTTTTTTTTTTGTTAGAAATTTCATAAGTAAAATGGGTAATATAAACATTTGGGTGTTGCAATTGAGTTTTGTAGAGTTCACTTGTTAATTGTAACAAAAAACATTTTAAGACTGTTTTTAGGTTGATGCAGGGCTCCCATTTAGGCAATTAAAGATTTAGTCTTGACTGCTTAGCTACAAACAAATATGACAGTAGTAATGAAGGCTAAATTCATAAAAAGCAGCAGCAAATAATGAAAAAAATCCAACTATCTTCTATAAATACTTTTAAACTTGAAACATTTACTCCAAGTATCATTTAAACTAAGATAAAAGCATATCCACAAATAAACGTGTTTCAGCTCAAGCTGTCGATCTGTTGCTGTGCTTTTATTTTTATCTGACAAACTWACAGTAAGTCTTGTTTTTAATCACACAACTTACACACTGTTTAATAAAACCCTCCCAGGTCACCATGATTGGTCAGCACAAATAACATTAAATATACTTCCTCCTTGTACATCTGTAACATGACAGATTATCACATATTTAGGTAACCAAAGGGAACGTGAACGATACCTGTTAACTCTGGTCTCGTTCGGTACATGCAGCAGCTGTTTTGGTTCCGGTGCAGAAACACCGAGGATGTGACGTGTATTGCTCGTTGTCGTCTTTTCTGTTTAGTTTTAAATGTTCCCATGCTTTTTATAATTTGTTGTTTTTTGGGGACGCTTTGTTTCGGCACTCTTCGTCTTCTTCTAAAGCTAAATACAGCACTTAGCAAGCATACACGCGTGACGCGTCGACAGTGTAACTGTTAGCGGAAGCGCTAACGTCGTAGCATTGTGTGCAACACAAATAACATTCTGGGCGGACAAAAGTGCGCTGATTATAACATGTATTTTTTACGAAGCTTCGAAGCAGATAAATTTGCCTCGAGGATTTTTTGTAATCGAATCACGCAAGGAATCGTTTCAGCTCTAGACCGCAAACCAGTCAAGTGATTCATTCAGACAACGAAACAGTTTGTGTTTCGGGCGTCACGTGACTTCTTCCGCACTGAAACAGGCTCCAAAACAGTGGTCCGATATAATTTTAGTTCAGGGTTCGAACCATGTTTTGAAGCTTTTGTTTTATACTACCATCACTAACTGGAACCTGATTGGTTCTTTGGTGTTTGAATCACTGAAAACTTGGGAGGTATTTCTGTTTTCCAAATAACCAGAACGTGATTGGGACTGACCTGGACTCGGCCATCATGGCAGATGCTTGGTAGAGCAGCTGAGTCTGATGGTCCGTGTTGAAGGCCCGGGCGTAGGCTACATTGTCTAAAACATCACTTCCTACCAGCCCGTACCTGATCCCACACACAGGAAGACAGAAACACTTCTACTATTAGTTTTTAAATGGTGAAACAAAAAGTCGTACTGTATTTTTAACCAATGTTTCTGAATGCTGAAAGGTGTAGTGGCTTACCTCTCAGCCACAGCGAGGAGTCTCTCAGGTCTGAAAGTTCCCTCTGTGTCGATGTACATGGCTTTCCCCTCTCCTCCTCCCTGATCAATAGGCAGCTGCAGACAGAGCACAGCCAGCCTCAGCTCACCTGCACAACTTCCACCCATTAATGAAACTGCAGGAGAGCCTACCTGACAGGTAACAGCCAGAGTGTGGCACAGCTGAGTCTTCCCCGTTCGAAACTCTCCAAACATCTCGGTGATGGAGCCCGTCTCAATCCCACCTGCACAGGAGCAGAAGTTAGACCTCCTTCTGGTGGACCACTCAGCCTGGGCTCATCAAAGAGACCCACCCTGCAACAGTTTGTCCAGCTCCTTGGAGCCTGTGGAGATCTGGATGATCTCTGCTCTCCTCTGGTGGAACTCTGTCGCTGTGGTAAAACCCATCGGTACCAGTTTGGCAGCTTCAGCCTATCAGCAGAGCAAAGTCTAATCAGACAGGCGGCTGAAGGGAAAACATTCTGCCAAGTCCACATAGAACAGAAAAAACAACCATCACAAGTACAAGTGAYCTGATTATCAGAGGATTCATTAGGAAGCCTTGAAGCAGACTTGGGTTGTTACAAAATCTGCACCTATTGATAACGGAATCAAAGTACAAAAATGAAGATAGTACGGTAGTCCACAATATAGTGTTTCAAGAGAGAATGTTCTTCTACTTCAGTATATTAAGTGTACAAGTTCTTTGTATTGTTGTTAAAACTGTTGGTTACAGTGAAGCAATTCTTGCTGGTCTTTTAACAAAAATACATCTTGACCAAAAGTTTAAAAAAAATGGATTGTTGGCCAGCCAGATGTCTAAAGACCGACATCTCTCAAAGAAAATCATCAGTTGTCCTCTACTCAACACCACCACTTCAGATACCTCTCTGTCCACTTCCAACACTGGAATACTTGTGCTGCACCTTTACGTGCAACAGCATCCACATCACTGACCTAGGGCTGGGCGGTATGACCTCAAATTCACATCACGGTATAAATTGGATCCCTTCATGTTAATGGTATATATCGCGGTAGAAAATAATCATAAAAAGCAAAGATAATGTAATTTTTAGAGCATTTATTTTACAGAAAGCTGTAATCTTAATCAAAGCCAGTAGTTTTGCTGTAATGCAAATGAACATAATAGAAGTACAGAAGAATGTTATATATATTGTAAACCGTTTCAACAACAAACTGTGGTGATAGTCTTAAAACACTTATCCACTTGGTGGCAGTGTTTGCACCTTTACCTGTACCTTTACATGAAGAAGAGTACTAAGTGATTGTATGTTAGCAGGTGTGACACAAAATTAAAAGAAGAACACTGAGTTTGTCAAACGAAGTCCTGTCTGGAGTTTTACTAAAACATAACATGGTACCAGGAGTGGTCCAGTATTAACAGTCATGGAAAGTGTGAAGCCGCCTGATCCTGTGAACTGGACTGGAAATGTTGATTGTGAATGGAGAACTTTTAAACAGCGCTTTGTGCTGTATCTTCAAGCTCTTGGCCTGGATGGAAAACCAGATGCAAGGAAGATTGCATTACTCCTTACTGT